CTTTCAAGGGGTTGTTAAGCACATATGAGATAGACATGAAGCATAGAAAAACCACCTCTGGAAATGGACTATGACAGCCCTAAAACTCACCGAATAGGCCCTGAAATCAATCTAGGAAACATGCCAAGAAAGGCCCCCTCAAAAGGCCTTGAATGGAATTGTTCTACACATGCATTGTAGGTATAAAAAATGGCTAAAAGGGCCCCGGACAGACCTAAGGCAGACCCCAAGACTCACAAAATTGGACCCAAAAAGTGACTTCAAAGCATACAAAATAGGGTCCCTTTGGGAGGCCCAAAGATCCCCAAATAAGACAAGGAGAGAGAGGGTCACCCCCCTCTAATTTTGGCCCTCAAAAATGTATCCAAGCCACTGAAAATCCACTGGATTTCAGTAGCTAAGAGGCCAAACCATGGCCAATGCAAGTGCTCTAATGCATAGCCTTAATCATGGAGAGATGAAGCATGCATAAGGGGAAGATGACCCCAAATAGAAATAGGACCTTAACAAAACTTGAAGAGGAGCTCAAACAAGACTTTTTTCAGTTCATAACAAATCTCGAAAATGTTCACAAGTAAGGCTAAAGTATGATGCAAAAATAGCCCTAAAAGAGAGATTGAACAAACAAGGAACTAGATGACCTCAAACAGTAAAGTGCCCTTAAACAAAGATGAAGAAGAGCTCAAAATAAGACTATCTTCAGTTTATAGCAAATCTCGAAAGTGCTCACAAGTAGGACCAAAATATTATGCAAAAATAGGCATACAAAGAGGGGTAAAGCATGCAAGGGTGTAGGAGGCCTCAAACAGAAAAGTGTTCTTAAACAAACATGAAGAAGAGCTCAAAATAAGACTATTTTCAGTTTACACCAAGGCTCGAAAATGCTTGCAAATGGAGCTAAGGTATAGGGAAAAATAATACCAAAATGGGAAAAATGAGGACTTACCCTTGAAGAGCCGACCACCAGTAGCTTTTGGACCAAGTTGATGAGCTTCCAACCTCTGCAAATGGCTTCCAAGGTGCTGGAATGGATGATGGAGTTGTGGTGCTAAGGGTTGTAGTGTAAATGGACCAAGAAAGTTAGGGTTTTGGAGCTTGGAATAGTAGCAATGGAGGTGAGAGGTTATGTGCCTTGGCCAAAAATGTCTAACCCGTGAATATGAAGAGGAGGGCCTCTCTTATAGAGAAGAGAGGCCAAAGCTTCTCCAGCTGGCACAGCTGGATTACACTCAAAAAGGAAAAAAGTAATAAGCAGGTCGGCCAGTTCAAGTGGCCGGCCGGCCACTCCCCTTGGTCGGCCGACTAGGGGTCAAAAGGTTCAAGAATAATTGTTGGTCGGCCTACCTAGAATGGTGGCCTCCCAGATGAGTAGAACACAGCCCTGTGGAGAAAAACCAGAAAATGTGACCCATGAGAGAGAAAAGCTAGCTTTTAAGTAAGGTTCAAAAGGGTCAAGGTGAATTTCTGGCCGGCCTACCCATATTGGTGGCCTCCCAGATGAGCACAACACAATGGTAATATGAAAAGCCAGAAATGTGGCTCAAAAGTGAGAAAAACCAGATTTCGGTCAGAAAAATCGACTTTTGGAGAGAGAAAAAGAGAAAACTAGCTTTTCAGGGGAAGAGGTGGCCAACCACCATCTTACCACCTCCCTAACAGTGAAAATAGGGTCTCTACCAAAAAAGGACCAATACGGATGCAAAACGAAGGTTCGGGGGCCAAAACGCGCGGTTTGGGGCCCCGAAAACAGGCTGTTAGGCACCGGAAGTGGCGTATGACCACGAAGGTGGTCTCCAGGGCCACAGTGTTCCTCTAAAGGGAGGAAATAAGATGTGTGCCAAAAACTGGAGCAAACGGAGGTAGTTAAGCGGTCCCGAACCGAGGCACACGGCCGACGGCTCCGAAAATCGGGAACCGGGCTCCAAACGGGAAAAATGGCCTACGACCACGAAACGTAGCCTACGGCCACTGAGAGATGGTCTACGAGACCTCTCCCTCCTTTCGAGAAGAGAAAACGGAGAAAATAGGACCTGATTCGCAAACCGAGACAAAGCACAAAAGAGCTCCAAAGTCCGGAGGCAAGGCCCGCAACCGAGACTCCGTAACTTCAGAACGAGCACAACATGCAGCATCATCGAGTGTTCAACTGGTGACATCTAAGTCTTAAGGTCGGTCAAAGATGGGGTGTCTACAGTTGCCCCTCTTTGACAGAACTCGGAAGTCACACGTGACGGGAGTGAATGTCAAAGCCCAGAGACGACCCATTTTTGACGAGGCCAAAAACTTAGACAAACAAACAAGATAACAAAGACGTGCCCGCAGGCAAGGGCAAAATGCAAAATGATATGCACAAAGCCGAATATAACTCATGATCATGCAAAGTAGCAAGCTGTAATGAAGCGCACACACAACAGTTTTAAGCAAGAATGCAAAGAAACAACTACATTTCATGCAGTTTAAGAATGCGGAGAATTATTCAATTCCCGCCACGTCTCACACGGAGAAGATACAATACCTGCACGATTCGTCTGGTCGCACCAGCTCCAAATGAATCGTACATACAATATCGTGCCTGAAAGAGGAAGAAACTTGACAAGTACAACATAATTAGCAACACATGTTCAACATTACATCAAATGCAGACAAACAGGATGTTGATGGGAAAGTGCATCGCAATGCGAGAGATACGTGCGTAACAACGCAAGTTAAGCATGAGGGTATAACAATACCAATGAAACGTGCACAACAATGCAAGTAGTATGCATGAGAATGCAAGTGACGTGCATAACAATGCAAGATAAGTGCAAATTCGAATGCATGTTTGGCGCAAAACAACGAGCAAAGAAATGCAAGTTTTGACAAGTGCGGCATAATCGCGACCTCCGGTTTACCTCCCGGAAGGGTCACAGCATACTCAAAAAGGATACATTTTGCTTTTGATGAGTGACAATGAAACACGCATCGAAAGTTGGAGTTGGAGTTCCCGCGGAGGGATTTCGTGACAAAAAGTGCACTTTTCTTGTACTTTCTCGGGTCCCGGGGACTCCAATCATCACCAAAATTTGCAAGGACCTTGTAGACCACCTTGGGAACACCACTGACCAGGTTTGGAGTCCAGGGGAGGCCACCGACCAGGTTGGAGTGCAAGGGGTGGTCGGCCTACTAGAAAAGGTGGTCGGCCGACCACCTAGCCCAAATCCGGGGCAGTTTGGTCTTTTTGCTCCCATTTCTTTAAATACACAAAGCTAAACACTTTTTGCTCATAACATCAAGTCCAAAACTATCTTCTCCTCCTTCCTAGACCATTTTCTCTCTCAGATCTGCGCTCTATACGCGTTTTCCAACGCCCCACGCCAAGTTATTTCGCGAAAACTTTCAGTTCTCTTCACTTTGAACTGATTAAAATTTGATTTCGGAGCTTCTTTTCTCATTTTCACTACTTGAGGTAAGTTTGTCTCAATATTTGGAAGATTTTCTCGGGAGTTGACTTTTGTTGACTTTTTCATTTCCCGAGAGTTGACTTTTGTTGACTTTTTCCAATTGTGGCTTATTTTGCTCATTTTTGCTCCTTTTTGCAGATTTCTTGAAATGGCAGGTCAATTTCCCCACGGCGGAGGTTCTCCAGGTGCCGGAGGCAAGCCTGACATCATGTCTTTGCATCCGAGGGTTCGCCCCTTCATTCCCGAGAGGTACGATCCTTCGACTCATGTCCTTCCTCGGGCGATTTTTTATCATTTTACCGACTTCGACCCTCGAGCTCCTGTAGACCTGCTATTGCGGGAGCCGGAGTCCCATCTCTCTCATGAGGCGCGAGAGGTATGTACTTCACTTTTTTACATTTCCTGCTTTTATTCTGCATTTTCCTTGCATTTCATGCTATATATGCTTATTGCCTGTTCTGAACACATTCGCATGCCGTACTTCTGCTCATTTTAGCACACAACTTGAGCCAGGAAGGGGAGGATAATTGCAACAGGAGCTATGATTTCTGTAGCTAAGAGACTCGTTACAAATGCCATTGAATTTTAGTAGTGGGGCATGCATGTAGGTTGGTTTTAATCAACAGTGTCAATACTACTGTTGGGTTTGGAATGGGATCAAGGCCAACCTAGCCTAACCTAATAAGTTTTCTCTTTCTTTTGTAAAAATAAAATAAAAAAACAAGAAAAGTGAAAATGAAGATTGAATTTTTGTTAGCCCTCGAATTGGCTCTGTTCCCACCAAGCTTGATCATGGCAAAGACATATCCATATGGTGTGAGTCTGCTGTTGAAAAAGATTATCCACCTAGCTCTGTGCCCATCCCCACTGTGTCTGTATTTTAAACTTCTGATTATTGTTGTCTGGTGTCCATATTTGTGACTGTGCTCGTGTCTATGTCCGTATCTGTTATTGTGTTTGTGTCTATTTTTGTGTCTGTGTTCTTGTCCCATAACCTCACCCTAATGTAGAGTGTTCAATACATGTATTTCATATATTTAGAAGAGTCCATGTAACATAACTTCTCATAAATAGAAGAGTGTATCACTCAAACGACTATTTCTAGATGAAATTACCTAGTTAGTCCAGCCAGCTTTGTGCAAAAATCATTAAAATCATTCGAAGGGGCTTCAGCGTTGAGGTAATTCTGTAGGTCCTTCTCAACACATTGATGAAGCCTTTCTAAACCAGCCTCGGCCTCACCTACAGGCAAATCATATAATTTTCACCACAGTACTCAAACAATTTTCAAAGTTGCATTTCGTAGAAGTTTGGAAGAAACCACACACCTTGTAAATATTCAAAAAAATGCCACCTAGCATGTTCATGCCAGGGTAGGTAGTATCCATATGCATAGGTCCATTTTAATACTCTCTGATATTCAACTATCTGAGACATGTAACAGTATCAGACATCTTAGCCTAGCTGTATTTTTCACAGTTAGTTGTTGCTACGTCTAATTGTGTATGTGAACAAAATTTAGGTTATGTAACTTATAAAAAAAATGATTTGATTTTGCAGGATCAGTTTGATCTACAAGGCAATCCGAGTGATGTAACAAGGACTTTAAACACACTGTTTGGTCGGCGATTGAGTACCTTCACCTATAGGTTGCACAAACAATACAAGCAACTTAAGGATGCAAGAGGAGAGGAGTATGCGAGAAGCCACCCACCTGCAAGTGTTACTTTTAATCAGTGGACATCTCTAATTGACAAGAAATGGAATAGCAAAGAGTTCATGGTAAAATTTTTATATTAATTGTCAAAAATTAAGTTTCTTCTTACTAATGTTAAGTTTTGTTGTTTTTATTGGTGTTTCAATCGTGTAGGAACAATCACTAACTAATGTGAATAATAGGACGCAAATGAAAACAAAACATAGATGTGGATCAAAATCAATCCCGGTTAGGGTGCATAGCTCGGTGCATTCTACTATTTTATTTTATTGGATTAGTAGGCTTTGTTATTTAAATATTTGAAATAACATTCTAAAACAAATGAATCAGATAATTGCAAATGAAAAAGTGCCCGAATTGGCATAATTTTACAAGGCCATCCACTATAATTCGAACACGCAAGAATGGATTTCGTCGGAGAGCCAAGCTAATTATGTATGTACAAGGCTATGCATATTAATTTTGATAAAATTATTTATTTTGCTTTGTAGGGTAGAATAACTAATAATTGTTCGATTTATTTTAAATTAACAGGACAACATGATGCAGACACAAGCAGAACATCTCTCGCAGACTGGTGTGATCCCCTTGAGCTCAGAGGAGTTGTCAGTCAAGGTGCTTAAGCCAAGGTCAGGTTATATGAAAGGACTCGGAATGAGGCCTCCTTCTTCTATGAAGACTACTGTTGCACCTGCTGAAAGTAGTGACTATATTCAATGCCTTCAAATGCAAATAGCACAGCAAAATGAACAAATTGCAAGGTTTCAACAGTCAGAGAAGAAACAAAGCAAGAAGATAGAAAGTATCATAGACTGTTTGAGGCAGAAAGGTATCACGGGAAATTTTGAGAGTGGGGAAAGTTCAGATTCTGATGGACAAGCTTCTTGATTAGTATATTATGTTTATATGTTAATTTAGTAGAAAATTTCTTCTTCAACTAGAGTAGAATTCTTCAACTAGAGTAGAATAAAAAACTACTTTTGACATTTATGCACAAGGTCTTAGGAAAATAATGAAATATGCATGTAAAGGCCCACAAAACATCACAAACACCTTGAGACGGAGCACCATAAGATGAGCAAACTTACGAAACAAGCATGTGACTCCTAGTTTGAAAACTACTTTGAATTATGTCTTTTTCCACCACTTAAGGTTGAAAATAGGTCATTAAGGGACTAAATAATGAAATATGAACAAGAAGGCTCGGGAAACATCATGAACACCTCGAGAGGAACCAATGTAAATTGTGAAAACTTATAGAACAAGCACGAGACTCCCAATTTAAAAACTACTTTGAAATTTGTAAAGTTCCAACACTTACGCATGAAAATAAGCCATCGAGGAGCAAAATTGTTAAATAGGCACGAAAAAGTGTAGAAATTATCATGGACACCTTGGGAGGGATCAACATAAGTTGTAAAAACTAACAAAACAATCATAGGACACCCGGTTGGAAAACATTTAGGCTTGAAAATAGACTGTTAGGGAGTAAAATCTTGAAATAGTCGTTAAAAGGCCGGGAAACATCGTGAACACCTTCGGAGGAACTAATGTAAGTTGTAAAAATTTACGGAACAAGCACAGTAAAATTTGGTTTGAAATTTACTTCAAAATTTGTATTTTTTCTCTTCTAGGTTATATGTTAACATATTTAGTGAATGTTTACTTTAACCTATTGCTGCTGCTGTTGTTGTTTTTTTTTTTTTTTTAAATGGCAGATTGGTGATGAATTGATTTGGTAACCTGCAAAGCAAGAGTTTTTTGTTGATATTACCAGACACATCCATCACAGTGTAGTTGTACTTTTTGTTGATATTACCAAACATGTATTTTGACTATGTAGTGTGTTATGATTATATTGTGATGGATCTTATCTTTTTGTAGATATTTCATTGAATAGATTAAAATGAGCAGGTTTTTGTTGATATTACTAAATGAACAAGCTTTTGTAATGATTTGTAATGGATATTATATTCAGCAGGTTATTAAAATGCACAAGTTATTTTGACTGAATTGTAGTTTTTTTTAAAAAATTTTATTAGAATAGATGTTATAGTTTGAATGTTATATATTAATTTCTTGATACTATACGACATGTATTTTGTTTGTGTTGCTTTATGAAATGAACAGTTTAATTTTATATTGATTTGTACTAGAAATTTTATTAAATAGATTATTAAAATACACAAGGATTGTTTATTGAAAAATATATATGTAAATTGCAAATATACCTCTCCTCTGCCCCCAATTTTTAAAATTAATTTATTATTGGTGACGAAAAAAAATTTGTCGTTAAAGCTTTCAATCCTAACAAATAATTTTGTCACAGATGTTTAGTATTTCATCACTAACTTAAAATATTTGTTGAGAAAAATTTTCGTCACTAAAGGGCCTTTTTTTGGCATCTTTTGGTGACGATATTTTCGTCACTAAAAATTTTATTACTATTTTTAATGATGAAATATTTTGTCACCCAAAAAAATAGAATAAAATTTTATTTAATTCTAGTCACGAAATGGATATTATAGGTGACAAAATATTTAACATTTAGTGACGAAATATTTCGTCACCAAATACCAATAATAGGTGACAAAATAAATTTTCGTCATCAAGTACTTTTAGTGACGACGAATTGATGACGAACGTGGTGACGAAATTATTTCGTCACAGATCAATTTGGTGACAAAAATTTCACTATTGGAGACGAAGTGATTTTGTCATTAAAGAATCATTTTGTTGTAGTGCCACTATGGCCTTTAATTCTATATTTTATTGAGTTTACTAAATGAAATAGAATAATATGACAATTTTTTAAAAATATTTATTTTATGTTTGATTCACTCAAAAAATAATAAAAATACATTGAAAAAGAAATAATAGTTATTTCATAAAAAGATAAAAGAGTAATCATTTCATTCCACTTCTTGAACTTTTTCTCCAAAAATAATATTATTTCATATGAAATTGAATAGAATAAATGATTAAATATACGATAGAAATTTTAATTTCTACTACAAGGTACAATTATTGAATAAATAGATGAGATAAATTTTTAGTTCAAATGAGTGAGTTTTTTTATTAAGTTTGATTAGGATAGAATAATTGAATGGTGATACTGCATGTCAATGATCATGTGATATCACCATTAAATTTTGATTTGATTTGATTTTAAAAAAAAATCATTTTTAGACTCGTGCACGGATTATTATTTTGATAAATTTAAAATTTTAAAATTTAAATCTTTTAAGAATTTATTCTGTTTGATTTGATTTTTAAAAAATTATTTTAAAATGAATTTTCCTTTGTTTTAATAAATTTTTACATATTTTATTCAATTTTTTTTTTAACATTTTAAATCCAGATACATCTTAATTGACTAATCTATTTAAAAATAAATAAATTACAATCACATCCCTGAAGTTTGCTTAAAATACATATTGTTCCATCTAATTTGAATAATTACAAATACTCCAGTCAAAAAACATTTGTTTAACAGAATTAATTAAAAAAATAATTTTTTTAACTGCTCTACTGCACAATAATAAAATTACCTGAATTATTAATTAAATTAAGTTTTTCACATAATTAAAATCTATTAATTGATTTGATAATTTATTAATAAAAATGGTTATTTGTTATGGAATTAGAAACTTCAAGGGGTGGGATGTAATTTTCAATATCACATGGAACAATTCATATTTTAAGCAAAACTTAGATGGTATATTTGTAATTTAGCTTGAAAAAATAATAAAAAAACAAATGAAAATCTAAACAAAAACATGCGTGCATTTTTGTTCAAATTTTTATTTATTTTTAATATTTTTTTATGTTGTGGTTAATTATTTTTCAATCTTTTTAAATGTATCTAATTTTGATGCATCTAGAAGTTTTTTTTTAAAAAAGAAAAAGAAAAAAAAGGAGAGGCTAAAATATAAAAATATGATCTATTTTATTAACAAATAAATTATGATCACATAATAAATGATTTATTTTATTAATAAATAAATCATTAAGTCAATTAATAATTTTTAATGATATGAGAAATATTTTTTAATGAATAATTTTGATAATTTTATTGTTGTATAGGAGAGTAGTTAGAAATTTTATTTTCTTTGTTTATTCTGTTAAATTTAAAATTCTAACGAGGGATAGTTGTAATTTCTAGAATTGTAAAGACAATTTATATTTTAAACACACCTTAAGGGTATAATTACAATTTATCCAAAAATAAAATATTCATGTTTCATTACTGATAAAAATTCTTTACATAATTATGAAAAACCCTTCATTCAAATTAATCCCATCAATATAGATAAATAATATATATATATATATATATATATATATATAAGTTAAATTATAATCCACCATTGGTAAATAATACCGAACCAAAGTAAAAAGTAGTAAGAATAAAGAGAAAATTGGTGAAAAAAGTCTACTCTAACAATTATCTTTTCAATTTTACTCATTGACTTTTTTTATCTGTTTAACTTTTCGTTGACTATCTATTCAAATTATTTTCTATTTGTTCAATTTTTATCTATCTGTTCAATTTTTTTTATCTATTTGTTCAAAAAAAAATTTTTGTATAAATTTTCTATCTATTCAAATTTTTTCTGTGCAAATTTGCTATCTGTCCAAATTTTATATGTGCAAAATTTTAATCTCCTCCTCCTCCTCCTCATCATCATCATCTAATCAATAGAAGAACAAATTTTACATGTTTTCTCCATATTTTTACAAATATCTATTCAAATTTTATAATCGGTTCAATTTTAATCTTTTATCTGTCTAATGAATATTATATAAATGTTACAGTTATGGAGCTGATTATATTTAAATTTAAACATTACAAAGTGTTTTTGATCATACACAAATATATACACAGAGATCCAAATATATACGCTAATATATATTAAAAAGTGTTTTCAATTTGTATAAATACACAAATTCACTAAACAACGCCGTTCAATTCAGATTATGAACTGAAAGGAATCCACCTCCAATAATGTAACGGTAGTTCACTTAGATAATGTTTGATTCATTAAAATGAAACGTAATAGTATAAATATTTTACCCAAATATCTATTTTTATGTTTGATTTATTAAAAAAATAATGAAGAATATATTACAAATATAATTATTATTCATTATTATAAAAAGTAAAAAAAATCATATCATAAAAAAATTAAAGAAAATATTATTACATTTTATTTTAATTTATTTTAATAAACCAAACAAGACCATGGGTTTTGGTTGACTGACGAAAGTGAGGATGTTGGTTGGGTTGGGAAGTAGCGTGGTGGTAGCTGAAGCATGTGCAAGTATATATATATATATATATCTTATGCAAGAAGAATTGCATTGGGTTAATGTGGATTGTTTTTTTGCCCATTTCTGTCGGAAATGCCCTCTGTTTTTCAAGTCTATTAATACCTTGGTATTAACAATCTCAATACCTCTCTTTCACCCAAAACAAACGGGGCCTTATTGTTCCCGGCCCTTCAATGGAGTTTAGTTAGGCCTTATTTGTTATAAGTTAAAAAAAGTTAAAAAGTCATTATTTTATTTAATTCATATCATTTTATTTAAGTTACATTATTTTTTTATCACATCACTTCAAATTCAATCAATATCTAACTCATATTTTATAAAAAATCAAAATATACATATATTTAGATTATCCCAAACCACTCCTTTTTTTTTCTTTCACTCTTCACGTTCTCTTTATTTAGTTTACCGAAATTGCCCCCTATTTGTTTTGTTTGTTTATTTATTTGTTTGTTTTTTTTTTCTCCTTTCTTTTTGACAACTTAATAAATATCTATAATAATAAGATGCCCATTGTGTTTGCTTTTTATTTTTTTCTATTTTTCCTTGGGTTTGGT